TCTTCTTCTTCTTCTTCTTCTTCTTCTTCTTCTTCTTCTTCTTCTAGGGATGGGTGTTTGGTGAGCAAAGCAACTTTATTTACCTGTCTTGGAGGCTGCCAAAGAGCTGCTGGGGGCAGCACCACCACTGCCCTTTGGGAGCCCCCCCTCCTCTCCCGAGCCCCCTTCTTTGTCCGGCATTCCACCGGTCAGAGGGACCCAGCAGGGCTGCTTCTGTGTCTAGTATCCATGGCTACTGATCCTGCCTGGGAAGCTGGGACGGGGCCTTTTGTAAGGCTTAGAAAGCCGCTCAGGCGGGGCCGACTTGCTCATGAATGGGCCCGGGCGCTGTTGGGGGCAATCATTCTTCGGGACAATAGCGAGGGGACGGTGGCCCTTCTGCTTTCTCACTGGCGAGTTGCAGATCACTCACGAAACGGGTATGTCTCGCAAAGGGGGGGCTCTCTGTCCGATGGACGGGGAGAATTCAACCCTTGTGATAATGGTGCAATTACAAGCACTCCCTGCCATTCCCACTTTACAGAACAGAGAAACTGAAATGGGTTGATGGGCTGCAAGCTGTGGTGAGTCAGTATTTAGTCACTGGTTCTAAAGATCAACCCTTAAGTCCTTATCTTTCTTAGAGCTATTCTAAGATTGCTGGTTTAGGATCATCCCCCGCAGTGAAAATATAATGTCTAAACCAGAAAATCAGCTTCAGCCCCACTTGGTGTCCTTAGGGGTTGTGCTCAACAAGGGTCTCCTTAGTTGGACCTCTTAGCAGAAGTTCTGGAACTCCAACATCTGGAGATGTCCTTTACTGTTGCATCTTGGGAGGTGTTTGTGCTTTTTTTTATCTAAACAAATACTTGTAACTTGGTGGGCTTACCTGAACGGATGGGTTTCAGGATGAGTCACCTGGCCCATGACAATGACGACTTTCTTTGGGGAGACATTCAGAGGAATACATCCATTCCTCTTCTGGGTGGTGTTTGAAAAGCAGTGACCAGGAAGGTAATACAGTGAAGGCCCCCACTCACTTGGATGTCCTTGCAAGTTCACCATGAGGACAATTTGGGAGGTCAGAAGAAGTTCTTAGCCTGGTCCAGGTCCTGTGGCCTGGATTTCTCCCAGTCTCAAAAGAGGTCCCTTAACCTCTTTCACCTGCATGCTGCTTTCCCACGCAGAGCCGGGCGTGTGTGTTTCACAGCACAAGACCAGCGGTGGAGAGATAAGAACATAAATCATTGTGGCTATATATAAACAGTTTCGCCCCACTGCCTTTCAGAGCAACTAAACCTGTAATTTGTTTCCAGGATATTCCCACTGTAACCTTCTAAAATCAATTTCAAAATAGGCAATGCTGATGTTTAAATTCAGAAGGGGTGGAAATTGCACTCAAGTGGTACTTTGGGGATCTATGTGCAACCAGCCATTGTCTTAATTCAAGCTGGGGGGTGGATCTGGCTCTTGCCTGGCCCTGCGTCACACACGTCACCCAGACACCTTGGGTGGACCTCAGACAAGGGTCAGGCACAATCTTCCTAAGTGGCTGAGTTGCCTGTGTGAGTGGGTCGCGTATTTTGATTGGATTTAGAATTAAAGCTGGAGAGCCAAGATGGCTAACTAGAACACACAAAACCTCTCTTTCCTGATCCCTGTTCAGTGTTTGATGTGTAGCAGTGTTTGGGAGATCAGAGGAGACAAGGGGGTGGGGGTAGGACGTGAAGGTCACAGCAGAAGAGTGTTTATAAAGGGAGGATTCTGATGTGAGGAAGAGGACCACAATGAGAAGTGGAAGATCAAAGAGATTCTGGGCAGTTGAGGCAAGATGGCCATAAAACTGGGATAGATTTATGGGCTTTGCATTGCCTGCTTCGAAACCCGAGAACGGGAGCAGTTTCATCTCCAAAGCTGAATAAGAACAGGGGATGAACAATCAGAGGCACACCTGGTGGGGCTGTCCATTGATGGAGAGAGTGCTTCACACTTGACTTAATGATGCTGTTGATATTCAAGGCATACATTTCAGTTAACAGCAGATCTGGGTGTGAAAAGGAGGCACTGGCAAAGGGAGGACTTGGGGGAAGTTAAGGTTGACACCTCCCATGTTCCACTGCACCTGATTCTGGTCAACTATATCAGGGATAGATCCAGTGGGCAGTTCGGGGGGTTCACCTGCATTAGCTTCTTCCCTTTCCCTCTGCAGAGACCATATCATGTCCATACTGCACAAGATCTTTATCACATATGACCCCTCTCTTAATTTGTAAGTGTCGAAGTGATATGTGGTTACACAGGAGGTGGAGAATAGGACATGTATATTCCAGGACAAGGACTGGCAATGAAATAGACGTATTGATGAATCATGGCTCCAGGGGAATCCTAGATAAATCCATCCCTTCTGCAAGGATCTTCAGCTGCACAGACCCAAGAGGAGGATGTATGCATGGTGAGAACAAGGATCATGTTGGCTCTGTTTGGGGCTGACTTTTGAAGTGTGTCAAAAGGTGAAATATGTTCCTATCCCCTTGACAACCAGTTAGAACTCTCTTACTCCGTTCAGGTGCTGGTTCCTGAATACAGGTAGTACCAGCTGAGTAAAGTAGAAGGCTAAGCATTCCAATGGCCTTCCTCAAGAGATCTCAGGTTGGTCAAGAAGCCATCTTGTCCAGCTGAAAATGAAGCAACAGCAGCCTCAGAGCAGGACGTGGCTCCCTCATACTGACACATACCTAACCTCTCCCTTGTCCATAGAGTTCTTCAAAATGGTCACTGTGAGTTGGATTCCTGGAATGAGCAAGCACCAACAGTCTTCACACACACATAGTGGATGTTCCAGGTCAGGGGCTCCCAGTCACACCAATCAAAAGCAATTGTGCAGTGATCCCATTTCCCCCTCCTTAAATGCATATTATTTAGGAAGGAGAAAGATGGGAGCAGGCTGGGAAAAGTGCAGGAGAGTTATCAATGGAAGACAACCTCATTTGGTGAAGGGACTAAACAGTCCCTGGATCCCTTAAGACAACCTGTTGTCTTAAGATAGGAGATACTGATTGGCAACTTGGTGGAGCAGGGCCCCCAGTTCTTGCTGAGCCGTTCAATTCCTCCTTGGGAACATTTGGAGCAAAGGTCCTGGTTATCCCACTGACTGACTGACCAGGAATGGTGAGAGCAGCAGAGGTCACGGAGTTGCTAATCGAGTGCATGCCTTCCCATTACCATGACAACCTAACTCTTTCCATCACTTCTTTCAAAGCTGCCTTCAAGTCTCTTAGGAGGCCAAGGGGCTTCTCCCTGTCACGTCTGAAGAGCAAGTGCTAGGCAGATCAGCAGGGAGGGAGAAAGTCCTGCTGAAACACCATTGCAGAGCGGTAAGGTGGACGGATGCAAAGTCATCTGAAAGGATCACGAAGGCAAAGGGCCTCAGATCCAGGACTTGATTTGAGCCATTTTAGCTTATCCCTGACATGCACGAAGGAAAAAAGAGAATTTGGAGCAATTGCCTGAGAATATGTAGGCGGCCTTCTCCTCCTCCTGAACAGTAACAATGAACTCAAAAACATCTCCGTGTGAAACAACTTTTAGTTTCATAGAAGGTCTAAGAAAATGCAAAGCCCTCAAGAGTTTTCAGCAACTGATCTGACTAGAGTTGGATTGTACTAATGAAGCTGGATTTGAGCTGAACACAGGGTTACAACCCTCCTTTTGTGGTGGTGTTCTTTTCAGCTGCTTTCTCCCAAAGCCCTGCAGTGCTGACTATTCCTGAAGACCCTACCTAGATTGGTCTCTCTTCTGCTTCTCAAAGGGAGTAAACACCATCCTGGGAAATTAAACCAGGAGAACCCAAGAATGGAACCTCCAAAACCAGAATAGATGCATCTCCAACCCTCACCCTGGCCTTTAGAAGTGTCCACTTTTCTGGGCTGAGCTCTAGCTTTAATGGAAGATGTAAAAATAGGCTATGTAGGAAGCAGACTGATAACCCCTGGGCTTGTGGTTCCCCCCATTGGAATTTTAAGTGCAGATCTGGGTCAGCTTGGAGGGAGCTTATCTGCAGGCTGTCATAAGGAAACAGGTATGGGGTGTGCATGGCTAATGTTACTATGACATTTAAGGTGCCAATTGCACAGGGTTGGGGTGGGGAGGTCAGAACCTCTGAATGGCAGCTGGCGGTTGCATCACACGAGCGCTCTTCAGCCTAAAGAGGAACTTGGAAGAATCTAAATCTCTCTCTCAATGAAACTTTAAAAACTTACACATTAGAAATGGTCTAACGGTGGGGTCCAAAGGCTGAAGCTCAGCATGGTTCAGGATGGATAAGAGCAATGAAAGTATTTCTCCAACCATGTTCAGAACAAAAGGAAAATAAAATAATTGGTAGAAGAGGAAAAGAGAAAAGGCTAGCAGACAATACACTATTCAGTGTCTATTTTTGGCTTCGTCTTCTCCAGCTGGAGAGTAGGTGTTCCACCTGATGCTGAAAAATAAATCAAAATATGCCCACCCTATTTATTATAAAAAAACATTGATGACACTGGAACAGATTTTCTTAATTCGGCCTCAGTGATAATTGATGGATACGTTGGATTTGAATTAATCTGTACGTATCAATGTACTGGAAGAGCACCCCTTTTCCCCGCGATGTTTGGACGCTGCCTTGAGTTGTATATATAAAAGACGGGATGATGACGATGGTGATGATGACGATGATGCCACCACCACTGGGACATTGGAAAGGTAGATGCTTGTTTTAGTGCTGGCATTTTAGGGAACAAACTTGAGTTCCCCAGTTCACTGAGGAAGGAGAATGGAAAGTCCTCCTGGATGAGTTTAGATGCATTTTGCTTCCTTGTGAAATTTCTTATTTTCTTTTTTCAGGGCATCTATTTCTAATCTGGTCTAAGTGCTAATGTGCCTAACAGGTCCCTTTGCACTTTCAGGATGAAGGTTTTTATGTGAACATTAAAGGGACAACATATGCTGGCCACTTTCACTAAGTGCTGTGTCTTTGGTGAGAGTAATTTTCTTACCAGGAAATCTGTAAATTAGAAGTCCAGATGTGCACTGCAGGGGGAAAGGGGAGAGGGCTATTCCTGTAATGCTCGTGGTCGCTGGTGTCTCTGAGCTTTATGGCAACCTGTTCTCCGTCCTCATATGCGCTTAACCTTCTTTCTGGAAAAAGTAGTGGGATTATATAATGTGTGTTTTTATGCTGGGATTCAGAGTTGTAACCAATTTGTGTCAGTTGGTCAGGAATGTTTTTTGTTTATTTTTTTAAATATGCATTGTATTTCTATTGCATTTTAATTTCTGTTGGGTGCCCAGGGTTGCATTGATGAGATGGTTGGCTATATCTATCTATCAATCAATCAATCAATCAATCAATCAATCAATCACTAATGTTTACTGCATCCTTCAGAGAATTTCTAATCCCAAGTACCTATCATTCATTTAAACGGCTAAATTGCTCTTCATGGAAATATATCCCACAATAGTTCAAAATAAGAAAAAATAATGTTTTCCAATAATTTTCAAATTCATCATCAATTCCAAAACCAATGCATTCAAAAGAACCAGATGCTTTAGTCCCTGGGTTTAAAATGTAGCTTCCTTTTCCATCCAATTTTTAAAACAGCAATGTGTGTTTTAGCATTTTGGCTTGTACATATTAAACCAGACCCCTTTTGAACTTGCAGTTCAATTCAGAATGGACCCATTTTGGAATACCATCTCCAAGCAAGCGTCCTCTTTTCTTTCCACTGAATTAAAGCCCAAGACATTTGAGAGTAGACCTTTCATTTCACGACTGTGTGAAATGGGTGGATGGACAGAGATGGCTGGACTTTTGCTCCAGCAACCCCCTTTCTAGAAAACTCAAGGAGGTCCAGCTCTTTCCTCTGGTGCCAAAGAGAGAGCCTCTCCCTTATTGTCCCAGCTGCAGCTTCCTGGCTGTTCCAGATGCTGATTTCCAAGAGATGCAGCTCAATTTCTACCCTGGGTAGCTTTCCTTGCGCAGCTGCATCTGCAGCCGTTAGAGCAATCAGAGGGCCCTGTGCTCCAGCCTTCCCAAGCCTTTGCAGAGGGAAGCAGAGAGGCTGCCCTGCTGGAAAACAGCCTCTTGGGTTACACACTCTAATTGCTCCACGCATACCAGGCCCATTCGGTCATCCCTCTTCTCCGCCTGAGTGGGGATTGGAGAATAAAAGCAGCGAGGGCAGAATAAAGGGGGTGCTGGACAGGGCAAAGAGCACAGCCTCTCCCCTGTGCATGGTCCCATGAAGTGGGGAGGGGAGGGGGCATGCGGCTGAAACTTGCAACACATGCTGGAAATGCTTCCCATCTAAGAAAGGCGAATGATTGAAAAGGAAGTCAAAAAGCAATCAGGATGGAAGTCAGGGAGAAGCCAAGAACGGTGGAAAGGAAGCTGGTGATAGTGAAGATACCTCACTGGGAAGCACCTTCAGGCGGATGGTCAAACCATAAGATTACTCTTGCAAAAAATGAGTTAGTGCAGAGGTAGGAGAGCCAAGAAAGGTGAAGAGAAAGGCGAAGTTCATTCTGTTTGGCCAAGAAGATGCTGATAGAGTCTTAGAGAGGTCCTAGGGAAGTGACCAGGTTAGGGACAAATCATCATGGAGAACATCTATCTATTAGTCAATAGCCGTAGTATTATTCTTGCTTCAATTCTCCTCTTCTGATTGCACAGTTTTAGTATATAATGTTATTACTTTTTATTACTCCTTATTTTCTGATGCTATGCAAACACTGAGAGGTTTTTTTTTGCACCGAAGTCAAATTCCTTGTATGTTTCATACTTGGCCAAT